ATGTAAAAATAGAAACAACAAATTCTGAAACAAAATGTTACTTCAATAAAGCTTATAATATTTTATGTGAGAGTCCCCACTTTTGCAAATGTTATGCATTGGTGGCGTAATTTAAATATAGGAGCGACTAAAATGCCCCAAAATGAAAGACACATTGTCAATTAGCCATTTAAAAAGATAAAAATACTGGGCCGGATAGAATTTTAGCCCTGTATTTTTTTAACAACAACCCGGCTAAGGTATCAGGGAGTCATTTTTGTACTCCAAAAAGTTTCCAAAATTAACCACTAAAATGCTATGTTTATATAAAAGCAAAAAATAAGATTTAAGATTTGAAAGAAATTAGTGCTTAAATAACTATAATAAAGCTCAAAATATACCCTATGACATGTGCTTTCAAAAAATGGTATGCAAAGGCATAGATTGGGGTATCGTTTTACTCCATATAGATATGGCTGAACACAATTATGTTTTCTACAGCAGTAGTATACATCAGCTTTATGAAATACACAAAAACCAAACCTTGTTTTATGTGTGTAAGAAATCTGAAAAATACAAAAACACACAATTTTACACTATTTAGTTTGGTGGTAAAATTGTAAAAACAGAATACCCTTAGGTAGATCGCCTGTGATGTGTGCTTTATATAAATATATACTTTTGTACAGCAATTTTGCTTTCAGTGATGGCTATTAAGCTTACAAGACAAACATTCCAAGTTCTAAAATTGTTGCAAATTGAAATTTTATTTTAGTCTTTGTAGTTTGTGACCTGTAGCTTTCAAAATAAACTGAAATCCTATATATATGATGTACTCTATAAATCAAGACACAAGTTAATTTATTTTGTATTACTTTTTCTAAGCTGGACATATGCACACGCAATTGCCAAAACTGAAAAATGTGTGTTTTGTTTTCAATTTTTTGCCATCTAATGATAATGTATCTATGTATGTGACATAGAATTAAAACCCTGTTTGCCCTCTAAAAAACAAACAAAAAAAAACAAAGTACAATATGTGTTGGTGCAATAAATGAGATGTCAAACAGCAAAAAAAACAAGCTTGTGAAGCCATCCTTAAGGGGTTAATTATAGCAATATTTTTAAATTTATGACAAATGCAGACAGATTCCATCATACAGAAGACATTTTCTAAGCACATAACTTGAAAGGCTGTCTTGTACTGGTCTAAATGTTATGTTGTGTTTATTCTGATCAAAATTCTGCAGTATTATGAAATCTGTGCACCTAGACACTGGACTTTAAAGTATTCTAGGGCGTTTACCACCCCATAAACAGAGCACCAGACTATTTAGATTAATTGCCTCATAGGATTTGTGCAGTCCATACTGAAACATGCATGAAGACTGACTTCTAAACATATTTTTCAATAGTTACAAAAAAATTTTTAACGTGGTCCAGAATACTTACTGTTCTTAGTGAAAGTTGGTGCTCGTTTTCATCGTCATCAACTTTGAATGAATATTCTCTTTTATCAGCTTTAAGTTCACATCCTAGAGATAAAATGAAATTATAAAACATGTGTATATTAAAAACCACACACCTTTATAGCAGGCATCTTTGTTGTCTAGGTACTGGAAATTCCCCGTTCTACACTCTATTAACCACTTAAGGATGGCAGGCATATTATGCCATCCTTAAGGAGGCAGCTCTAAACGCAGCAGGGCGTCAGTCTGCCCAGCCTTCCTGCACTTAGCTAGACCAACAATTCACGGTAATCCTGGTTGGGGCCACCCGACAAGCAATGCAGTCTGCCTGCAGCAACTGTACCTTTCCGGCCCTCCAGGGCCATGTCATCACAAGGCCACAATAGGTGAATTAGAGCTGCCTGGATTGTCAAAGTACCCAAATAATTAACAGGTTATAACAAAGTTTTGCAAGAAATATATACATATAATAGAATTATTTTACACATAATGCCAGTGTTCCTGTATTTTGAAAAAGATACGTCTATCAAAATACTTAAATACTTGGTGTCATGCCAAAAGCATGAGTTGGTGTTTGATGTGTGTTTATATATGTTAAGAGTTGCTTTTTGTAAACCTTGGGATGACATTTATTGTGGTCTTTGATCTTGCACCAGGCCTAGACCATAAAAAAAAATTTAGATGCCATCACCAGAGCTGGACACAAGGAATTTCATAGAGTGGGCAATAGACTGCCAGACCAACCCCCTCTGATCCCCCCCCGGGGTCTGCCCACTGAGAAACAACTAGTTTAGATATATGAGGGTGTTGGACTATCCAGGGAGTTCAGTTATTCATTTTTCTTTTGTCAGTAACTTCTAGGAGACCTATACCATCTAAGACTCCCACAAGAATTCTATATGGGGTAAATATATGTAAGGAATTTCTTGTGTTTTCTCCCATTTTATTTTATGTACTGTTTTGCAATTTATCTGAATGTCATTTATTTCTGCATTTTGTACTCAGCACTGTGAATCTTTTTTGTCAGATTAAATGTTTACTTAATCAGCTTGTGTCTGTTCTCAATGAGCTTCACTCTCCAGAGGAAAGCTCAGGTAAACACGTTACCAAAAAGGGTTTAATATATATGTTTTATCAGTAAAAGTAGAACTGCGATACTATAATTCTCCTGTGTGTGGGGTAACCTAAGACGCCCGGGTTTAAAAGTCTTGGTGGTCGCAGTAAAGTGTGCACTAGGGGGTTCGTGTAGAAGGGATTGCAGGGGTTAATTGAGTGGTTGCTGGGACTAGCAACAGGTAACCAGGGGTCTGGTGTCATTAACCCTGTCACTTCCACACACTCCCCAGTGTGTCGGCTGGGCCTATAGCCCACGCATGTGACACTTGGCATTATATAATTTAATATTAGGTTTATGCAACTTATCCAAGGATAAAAATCGGACTGCTTTGAACTTTGTATTTTGCCTTTGGAAGAACAGAAAATAAAAATAAAGTAAGGATGGCTAAACTTGACAGACACACACACACACACACACACACACACACACACACACACTTTCAGCCTATGTAACGGATCTATTAATATCAAATTTGAAATATATTGTAGTTTTCAAAGTGTATGTGTACACTCAAAAGTTTTTATACCCTTTGAAAATTCGTAATATATGTATAGTTTTTAAAGAAAACATAAGTGAGCAGGTAAAACATGTATTTCTTATGGGATTCATAGTCAACTGTAGGTTATAACAGAATGTCACAATCAAAACAAGACATTGCAACACAGGGGAAAATTCAAAAAAAATAAAAAAAATTACCCCTGTTCAAAAGTCTGTATACCCTTCGTTCTTAATACTGTGTGATGTCCCCTAGGGATGGACCGATTTTTAATTTTTTTGTTTTAGAGCCAATACCGATAATCTGAACTTTCAGGCCGATAGCTTGCCGATATTCTGTACATTTACCATTTTGAAAAAATAAACCATTTCTAAAGTTAAATGCACAAAATAAACATGCCACATGTAGTGGATGCAGTGTGTTTAGACAGTGGAGCTGTGTGTAGTGGATGCAGTGTGTTTTTGTAGATAATGAATGCAGGGTGTGTTTGTGTAGTGTGTATAGTGAATGCAGAGTGTTTGTGTAGTGTGTATAGTGAATGGGTCAACCTGGTCCCTACCGCCAACTAGTGGGCGTTTGAGGATTCCAGGTGGACGGTAGGGATTTCAGCAGCTAAATACTCTTTGAGAGGTTTTTCATCATTGTTAGAGTGGGCGGGCGCGAGCGGCTTGGGGCGCAAGATTTCAGTGACCAGCAGGAGGGAAGTGCTCCCTCCTGCCAGGCCACCTTCTGCACCCCCCCTCCCCCCAGCACGGCAGAGTTCTAACCTCTCTGCTCCCTTGCGCGATGTTTGCTGATGCCGTGGGTCATTTTCCAGCTCCTGGCATCAGTAGACAGCCCGCGAGAGAGCAGAGCTCCCTCACCACCTCGGATTAGAACTCTGCCGTCCGCATGAAGGCCCACACCAGCTCTCCAGGTAAGGAGGCTGGGTGGACAGTGAGTCTGTGTGAAGTATCGACCAATATTGATTTTTTTAGAGCCGATATTCTGTGAACTTTCAGGCCGATAGCTTACCGATATTCTGTACATTTACCATTTAAAAAAAAAAATGTCTATATATCTATATCAATCGGTAAATGCACAAAATATACATGCCATGTGTAGTGGATGATGGTACATACTACACAAAGACTACTACTACCACCACCACCACCCCCTGCTTGTTACCTGGCGGTCCAGTGGCATGTACTGAGCAGTGGGGGCCAGCAGCAATTAAGTAAACACTACTTACCTCCCAGTGTAATTCTTACGTCCTGTGTGCTGTGCAGAGCGTTGCCATGGTAACCCATGGCAACGCCCTGACAGCTGTGTGTCTTGTGAGATTTACACTGGGGAGCTGGAGGGAAGGTAAGTAAACGTTTGCTGCTGTCCCCCCAACAGGACCGCCAGGATTTTAATGCGTCAGTCCTGTTATACATTATCGGCAAAAAAAAAAAAGGAAAAGGAGAGAATGGTTGTTGGCTAATAGTAAATGGGCTAGCTAGCTCATCCTTCCAACTGGGTATTGCTATAAGGAAAGTTAAAAATAGTAAAAAAAATTAAATAAAAGGGAAGGAAAAAAGGTGGGGAAGGGAAATGAGGAGGAGAGCTGATGCACATATGAGAAATTATGAGCAGAGAAATCATCTGAATATCACCAAGAGGAGACCTTACGAAAATCAAGCCAGATATGAAATATTTAGTCTGCAGCATCAACCTCAAGGATCTCATTAACCCCTTCAGAAGCTTGTCTTTCACTTAATGACATCATTTTTTGCTTTCAACTGCAATTTGCATTTTACCAATTTATTGCACCGACATATTATATACTGTTTTTTTAAAGGACAGAAAGGGCTTTAATTTGATGTTTATTATATCTATCTATATCAGAAATGACCGCACTTCAAGGACTTTATAGAAATTTTCAAATAAAGTTTAACTTTTATTCAATCCATTTAAAAAGTCAACGTTTCAGCTCCCACATACGTATGTTTTGTCCCGATGAAAGATCCATGTGGGAGCTGAAACGTTGACTTTTTAAAATGGATTGAATAAAAGTTAAACTTTATTTGAAAATCTCTATAAAGTCCTTGGAGTGCGGTCATTTCTGCTATGTCTACATGATCCTTGCCAGACCAGCACTGGGCACCACAGGATTACACTAGGAGTGCAAGCCCTCGTGATAGATAGAGATTTATCTAATAAAAAAAAACAACATACAGAAATCTGCAAAATAAACCAATTTGTGTGTGTTTTTTCTTTTTACAATTTTTGCAATAATGTGTGCATAATTAGTGCAGGTTAAGGAAAGTAAAAAAAATAAGTTAATTTAGTTGTTCTGATTTACAGAATATATAATGTGTCTGGGATTTTACGTTTTTTGTGGTAGTTACAGGTCACAAAGCACAAGGAGTAAAAAACTTTTAATGTGGAGCGATTTTAGAATTTGGTATGTTTGTCTTGTAAGCTTAATAGCCATAAAAGAAAACAAAAGTATATATTTATAAAGTAGACATCACGGGCTATTTACCTAAAGTTGTTTTGACACTTTCTACGTAGCCATTTCACCACCAACCTCTGCTAAATATTGGAGTAAAATTGTGTTTTTTGGCACACAAATTTATAACAAAGAAATTTTCATGAGTATTATGTAAAGTTGGTGTGTGCTATTCCTGTACAAAGTTTTATTTTGTGTTCAGTTACATCTGCTGAGTAAAATGACACCCCCATTGTATGTCTTTAGCACTATTTCGTGACGCTACAGTGCCATATCGGAGACCAAGCCATATCAGTTTTTACCAAACTTTGACGCTGGGCCTATGTGCAATTTCCAAGCATATTAGCAGGTTTTAAAGTCAAACTACCCCACAATGGCCTACCATTTCTTAAATTAGACACCCCAGGGTATTTCAAAAGGTTCTAAACCTTAGTGTAGGATCATTTTTGTTAGTTTGTACAAAGTCTAGTTGCAATTAGCATTTTTTCTGCCTTTTTGACAGACACTTGGAGATGTTACTGTATATTTTTCTATCCTTGTATGCTATGGCAGTATAACACCTAATATGTTGCTCAGCCATGTCATCTTAGTGCAACGATACACCCATGTGTACCTTTCTCAGGATTATTTGGAGACACACCACTTCCATATTTTTCAAAAGTGGATGCTGGGCCCAAATCTCATTTTAGCAGCTCAGGACTGCAAATTACCTCTCAAAGGCCACATATTTTTAATTATAAGCAGCTCATCAATTCAAATTATGAACAAGTGCATGCTATTTTCTGTAAAAAGGGGGAATAGTTGGGGTAAACTTATCCGGGGGTAGTACCCAGTCATCTGCGTCCCGGGCAAAGCTGTCATGGATTCCGAAACCAAAAACACAGACAGACCACAAAGAGAGAAACTTGTAATACCAGTCCTTAGAATGGCCGGGCTATACAAGCAGAATTGTCAAGGTACAAGCCGAGGTCAAAGGAGTAAAGAGAAACAGAACAACGATAGTATAAGCCAAGGTCAAGGATCAGAAAAGACAGGATAAGCGGGAGACAAAGCCAAGATTCGGTAACCAATCAGACAGATGACTAAAAATCACACCCCAAAACTGGTCTACTTACTTATTCGGCCTGGGTGTGAAAATTTTTAAAACAGTGGCCAATACATAGTCCAGGCTGAGAGGGGCAATCAGGGCAGTAATAGCTGGTCTCAGCTCTTATGCCCCTCTTGTAACACACCCTGCACCTTTTCTGGGGGTTTTTTTTAGGGGTTGGTGGAATCTTAAAGCAGAAGTGACCTGCCTCCATTCTTCTGCTAGGCTCCACTGATGGTCTCCTTGTGTGGCACTCAAGTAGCCCAGAAATGAGCTCAAACTGGAATGAAAGAAAAGCCCAGCATTTGCCTTTTTAAACATGACAAAAGCATTGTGGATTGCCATCTGCATCAGATATATTCCCACTTTTTTATACCATGCCTTGTCTTTCGCAGTTGATCGGACAGGTCACCACCCCCCCATATGCAGATTATATTGCCGTATGCAGACTGGCACTCTTTTACATTCCTCTCTGCCACGAACTGCGACCCTCTGACCCTTTGAGAAACCTGTGCGACTCTTCCAAATAGTGCCACAGGCCACGGTCTCGAAGCAGTACAACATTTTTAACAGTGGGATGCGATTATAAAAGTTATCAATGTATAAATGATAACCTTTATTAAGTAGTGGCATTATTAAGTGCCAGACAACATTCCCACCTTGTCCCTACTATATCTAGGCAACCTGGGGGATCAAAGTGGCTATCCCTTCCTTCGTATACACAGAAGGTGTATACGTATCCACTGCCACTTTCACAGTTTATAAAATTTGATCCCATATCAGGATCTTTTGGATGGGATATACTATCTAAACCCCAGTCTTCCCTTAAACTTCACGAGGGACTAGTCAATGTAAATATTTTTATTGGGGGTATATATAGTGGCAAATTTACTGTTGAAGTGGGCAATTAAAGGGTGTATTGTTATTGTCACTAAAGTGCATAAATCACAGTATGTCTTCATATCTTTCCCTCGTCATTGTCTCGGCAAAAATGGGGGTATTGCAAATAGGATGTTTAGACCAATACATCCTAATTGTGGGCTTTTTAATTAGCCCCATTAACATGATCAGTGCCTAGAATTGTTTCAATTCTGGCATACTGGTTGGTTTTCATCTCTCTTTCCTGGATATAAGAGTCTGATTGCGTGCCAGATACTGATCCGCATAGAGATTAGTCTGGGTGACTATCTCCCCAAAAAATCTCATCCCCCCAGCGCACTATAGACAGGTCAGCCTGTATGCCAGAATTGGCTATAAACACTGGGATGTCTGGGGAAAAAAAAAATATATTAGGGGGTACCCAGTCATCTGCACCATGTTCAGCATTAGGGGAATCGTCGATTTCCCCTGATGGTCCTGTAGTATCTGGCACATAGTCCCTGTCCCCTGCGTCACTCTGAGGCAGTGTGTCACCTCTGAGAAGGCCGCTTACAGGGCATAAGCCTCCTCTGCACTATACTTCCTGAACATTGTTAAATACAGTTAACACAGCTAACAAGATTTTTTTTTTTTTTTTTTTTTAAATAAAGGGGAAAGGGATTAGGAACTTTTAATCGAACTTAAAGGACCACTCTAGGCACCCAGACAACTTCAGCTTAATGAAGTGGTCTGGGTGCCAGGTACCTCTAGGATTAACCCTTTTTTTTTTTTTTTTAATATATAAACATAGCAGTTTCAGAGAAACTGCTATGTTTGTACTGAGGGTTAATCCAGCCTCCAGTGGCTGTCTCATTGACAGCCGCTAGAGGCGCTTGCGTGCTTCTCACTGTGAAAATCAGTGAGAGCACGCAAGCGTCCATAGGAAAGCATTATAAATGCTTTCCTATGCGACCGGCTGAACGCGCGCGCTGCTCCTGCCGCGCATGCGTATTCAGCCGATGACATTGCGAGCAAGGAGGAGAGGAGGAGTACAGCTCCCCGCTCGGCGCTGGAGAAAGGCAAGTGTTTAACCCCTTCCTCTCTCCAGAGCCCAGCGGGAGGGGGTCCCTGAGGGTGGGGGCACCCTCAGGGCACTATAGTGCCAGGAAAACGAGTATGTTTTCCTGGCACTATAGTGGTCCTTTAACTATTCTTCTGGGACACAATGTCGCAACGATTTCTCTCTCTCCACATCACAAACCCACACGTGGTGGAGGGATACGGATCTGATTTCCCAGCAGCATTGTAACCGCTGTGACTGGCTGTCACAGCAATCACATGGGCTGGGATATTGGGATTTGCTGCTGCTGGTCTGCCCCTGACTTGGAGGCACCCAGCAACAGTGTTAACCCCGCGATCGCCAGCACTGCAGTGATCGAGGGTTAATTTTAAGGCATGACGGACGAGGTCCGTCACTCGTCATTAACGCTTTCCCCTGAGGGACAGACCTCGACCATCACCCGTCGTTAAGGGGTT